AAGGTGGGTGACTCTACTCCGTAGCCCTCAGGCCTGCCTTTAATTGTTTTTGGTGAAACATTCTTCTAGGTGGTGTAACCCTGGTATGTCCACTTGCTTTACAGAAGTAACTCGTGGTTGCTGTGAAGCCGAATACTGTTACCCATGGTGGTTAGTGTTTGGTGAAGCTCCCTGATTAAAACAAGCTTGGAAGCAGGAGTGGCATCCACTTCCACAATAGCTTGCCTCTGGAAACCCTTTGAACCTGAAGAAGGATCAAAGTTATATAGGAAGTGTCCAGGACTTTTGTTCATAGGGTCGCTATGAGTCACCTGCGACTGGACGGCACTTAACAACAACAACATATGTATATGTATATGAGTATGTGTATGTGTGTGTATATATGTGTATGTATAACTATATAGAATACATATATGATTGTATAGAATCTACTTAAGTAGGAGGGGCTATTTAAAGCTGTGGGTTTAGTTGCAGTTATGGGATAAATTGTGTCTCCTTACTCAAATAAGCTAGAATTCTTAACCATGTAACTATGAATGTAATCCAGTTTGGCAGTTGGTTTTTTTTTTCTGTTATGTTAAAAGGTCATGAAAGTATAAGGTGTATCTTACATCTAATTCCATAGAAGTCATAAAAAAATCTGATCAGACAGAAAGAAGCAAGCACGAGGGGAATTGCTGAGGAATCCAGGAACACTGGGTTATAGAAGCTGAAAGAGACAAAGATCTCCCTCCAAAGAAAATACAGAAAGGTCTTTCCCTAGAGTTGGAACCCTGAATTCCAACTTCTAACACCCTGAACATACACTTCTAACATACACTTCTCTTCTATAGACACCAAATTATGGCTGCTTTATTGCAACAAAGTAGAATTACTGTAACAAATTTTGAAAACTTTTTATCTTAATAAATATTTACAAAGAGCATCAAATAAATGGAATAATTTCTTAAATGAAGGGTGAAAAAATAATAAAAATAATATAACTTTAATATTAACAAACAGATACAAATAAGTAGCCAAGAAATCAAGAGGCAAATTGCATTGGGAAAGTCGGCTGTCAGGGACTTCTCCAGGGTACTGAAGAGCAACGATGTTAGTCTGGAGATTAAGGTGCTCCTGATCCGGACCATAGTCTTCCCAATTGTTTGCTATGTGTCAGAGAGCTGGACGATGACTAGGGTTGATAGAAAGAGAATTGATGCCCTTGAGCTGTGATGCTGGAGAAGAGTGTTGAATATGCCATGGACTGCTAGGAGAACAAACAGGTTTGTCCTAGAGGGGGTGAATCCAGACTGCTCCTTGGAGACAAGGATTCTGAGGCTTCATCCAACATACTTTAGGCATGTTGCAAGGGAGGACAGGTCCTTAGAGAGGGACATCATGCTTGGAAGGCCAGTGGGACAAACAAAGAGTGGTACACCATCGATGAGATGGATTGATACAGTGACTGGGGTAATGAGGGTAGGTGTGTCAGAGACTGTTAAGTTGGCCCAGGATAGAGCAGACTTTAGGGCTGTTGTATGTAGAGTCGCTATGAGTCACAAGCAACTTGACAGCACATTACAACAACATTGAAAGTTAAGAAAAACAAATCTTCTACATGGGGTAGAAACCGTATGTTAATTCTTCTATGCTATTTCTTTTTTTACTATCAAACTGGATATGCATACACACATAAATGCTAAAATATTTTTTAAACTCGAACAAATAATTTTCTTTGTTTGGGTTCTTTTTAATTCATCCTGGTTGTCCTGTATCAACATATGTTACATTCTAAGTGTGTTAATTACTTTGAGCTTTAATACCTCAGAGAGGAACCACTGCAATGGATTTTACCTGCAAGCATGCTATCAGGGGACTAAGTAGAAAGAGGATGAAAAGGAAACAATACTGGAAAAAAAAATGGCAGCATCCAAAGTTTCATAAATGTTTAAATTGGCCAGTAGATCCCCTCCTTTTCCTTTGAGGATCTCTTTTAAAAGCAATGTTAATATTTCCATTTTCACACCAAGGAGACAATTCTGAATAGAGGCTTCAAAAGGACTGCAGAGTTTTGTTAAAGCACGAAAATTTGTGTTTCATCATATCTTCAGTGAAGCCTGGTCTCTCTCTGTGCATGATCCTGAGAGATCTCTTCTGCTTCTGAGGTGCGTATCTTGCCTTCCCTTGGCATCATTTTCTTCTTTAAAGTTTCTGTTACAATAGTCCCTATGCTGTCACATTCAAAATGTACGGAGACATTCAAAGGCACTTGAGTATAAAACCAAGGTTTTGGGAAAGGCGATTCTGCCAAAAGACTGTTTCAGAGCCTGTATTTTGGAAACGTGATAGAAGTGGAACCCTCAGGGCTTTTGAGGGTGCTGTTGGGGAAGTTTTAAATTTATTTTCTTTTTCTTGAGGGGCAGGACAGAAGAGGGGACTAGAAAGAGTTGGATAGGAAGAGCCTAGTGGCCTTCCAGTTCAGCTTTCTAAATCTTAAGGAGGCAGAGGTGGATGTCTGTCCAGGATGTAGTCCTTATTCAGAACCGTGAGTTGCATCTTCCTGTTGGACTTTTGGAAGGGCTTTGAGGATGGGGAAAAGGAGTGTGGAAGCATGGGAGCCACCCACACCCTAACCCTCTGAGTGGTCGGTTGGGGAGGAAGCCTTTCAATGACAGAGTAAGAGAGGAAGGAAGGAAGGAAGGACCCGGAGCTAGAGGTGGGAGTGGAAGAGGCCGCTGGCCCCGGGCTGATTGGCTCCCGAAGCCAGCCCTCTCCAAGCGGTTTATAAGAGTTGGGGCAGCTGGGCGCGCTGCCCGCTTGCCCGCGCGCCCTAGGCATCCCTGCCTTGCTCTGCTCAGGCTCTGATTTTCGAGTTTGTGACTCTTGGAGCGAGAAAGGGAGAGAGTGGGGTGAGAGGGGGTGAGCGCCGATCCGAGGGAGGGGGCAGAGCGCTATGCGCCGCGCCAGCCGAGACTACACCAAATACCTGCGCGGCTCGGAGGAGATGGGCAGCGGTGGCCCCGGAGCCCCGCACGAGGGCCCCCTGCACGCCCCGCCGGCCGCGCCGCACGCTCCCCCAGCCGCCTCCCGCTCCATGTTCGTCGCCCTCCTGGGCCTGGGCCTGGGCCAAGTGGTCTGCAGTGTTGCCCTGTTCCTCTACTTCAGAGCGCAGGTGAGTGCCTGCCTAACTGAGAGCGCGTGGTCAGGGGTTCAGGGCTCTCTCATTCCCCTTGCACTTGGGGGGAAACACTGTAACCACTGAACTTGATTCCCCAGACCCTCTTCATTCAGGCAAAGTGACACTAAGGAGAGGAGATGCCTCTTGGGACCAGGCGGGCTCCGGACTGTGCAGAACTACGCGCGGGAACAGCAGGGCGCACTGCAGGCAACCCAGCTCCGCAGCACACTGAACCTGACTTTCCCTGGCCTGTCAGGCTTGAATTTCCCTCTTGAAACAGCATGATCGGCTTACAACTTTTAGAAGAGTTTACCAACTTCCTCCCCTCCCCCCCTCTTTTTATTTCTGACTTGGGGCAAAGAACCAACCAACTTCATGAGTAGTTCAACTACTAAGAATTTGGTTGGGTTTAATGCCTACTAACTGAGGTAGGATGGGGGAGACGAGTGTCTTTCTTAAGCTTAGACCCTTTCCTTTCTGCTCACCACCAGGCAAGAATTTTGGTTTTGGGGACTTTCAGGATTTGTCTGGGTCACAGTGTTTGAGAATGCGGAGACTTCAGAAGGGGCGCGCAGTGCAGAACGTGGAGGTGCTTGTAGAGGTTGGGGTAGCTCCTGCCTATGACAAATTGCCAATGGGTCGAACGACTATGTTAGGTCTGAGAAGCCTTATAGCATGGTCCTGGGTCTGAGAAGCCTTAGAGCAGGGTCCTGGGTGACTGGGCTCCGGCGAGGGTGAAGGAGGCAGGGGGTGGGTGACGTTGGGGTGTGCTCAGGAGGTGGAGTTGTCTACCCTGCAGCGCCGTTTAAAAGATGAGGCAGGCCTGTGTCAAAGTACAGAATTGGAGGAAGATAGTAGAAAGGAAGGGGTAAATTTGTAATGTTATGCTTTCTGGTGGTTTATGCCCTGTGTTTTCTTGGAAATTGCAGTGCAGTTGGTTGGATTCATTCACATATTCTCGTCTGATGCTGTGAACTCTTTCTCAGAGGAAGTGGGGGGCTGACTGTGCATTTTTTTTTATGGGAAAAGAGAGAGAGTTGGGTTTGGACTTCATTTATTTTCAGTCTCAGAGGTGACGACTTCGCCAAACTGGACGCACCGAAACGTGGCCTTGCTCGGGCTGTCTGGTCTTTGGTGGCTACCAGCGTCTGGATGCCAGTGTCTCCTTATCTACTTGTTTGTTTTCTGTAGTAATAGTTTTACTATGTACTAAAACAAAAGCAGAAATGCTATGAATGGTACTTCAGAAAAATCAGTATTTGCACATTAACAAAATAATTTTGAACTAATGAGGATTTTTTTTCCTAAAAAGATGACTTTTGAGTGGCCAACTTGCAACACAGATTACACAAGCTGTGTGAAAGTGATGAAATGTTTTCCTCTAGCTGGCACAGGTTGCAGTTAAGAATGAGTGGTTTTCTCGCTTTCCCAATCAGCTTGTTGGTTTTTCTTCCCCATTTTGTTGTCATTTTCTTAGATGCTACTGAGTGGTTTATGACTCATAGCATCCTCATGTGATAGAGTAAAACTTCCCCACAGGGTTTTCTTGGTTATAATCTTCACAAGCAATTCTCCAGGTATGTCTCAGAGGAAGCACTGGGTGGATTTGAACTGCTAACCTTTCAGTGAGCAACCAAGTGCGCTTAACTGTTATGCCCCCATGGCTGCTTCCTATTTGATGCTGCTATTGGAAAGGACACCGTGCTTGGAAAGACAGAGGGTCAGGGAAAGAGAGGAAGAAAGACCCTCTATGAGGTGGATTGACACAGTGACTAACCATGGGCTTGAGTATATCAGAGATGATGAGAATGGCACAGGACATAACAGGGTTCAGATCCATTTTTCATAGGGTCCCTATGAGTTCTAGTTGAATCGACAGCATCTAACAACAACAACAACAACGTTGAGTGTCTTCCTTATTGATACCATTATTAAACTTTATGTAGTGTGAGCTAAGACTCATTATTCAAATGTGTACCTTCTAAGTAACCCAGGGGTATGCAAGGATGCTGTAAGGGATCTGCCTTTCAGGAACCCATAATCAAAAGCTCTTAATGTCATTTCAACAAAAAGAGGGCAGAGATGGGCTAGACAATGCAGTGGTTCTCCACTTTATTCATTCCCCAGCAATTTCAGGGTAGTGGCAGTGATGGGGATGTTCATTGGTAGGAGAGGAGGAGGGAATGAGTCCCAGGGACTAGGCGCCCTGTCACTTGGCAGGAACCATGGGATTGGTGTGTCCATGGTGGAGAGCCATCATTTCAGTTGATCAGCTTTCCTGTTGGAATTTTCAGAATTAATGGTCTGGAGGGCTCAAAGGTTCAGGCTTCTAATTATCACTTATAACTTAGCTGTTGAATTAAAATCTGTCTGTTTTGATAATACATGAGTAATAGGGAAACACTCAAAAGCTTTTTTCTAAAATAAACCTGTTAGAAGGTAAGCTTTTTTAGTAAATTCTCATTTGAAGAATTTAATGTTACTATATTTTTTTAATTCCATTTTCCTAACTGCCGTGAATATTGAGTTTCCCTAAGACTTACATAGAATATTTGAGACATTACTGATCATGATTTTGTACCACATTTTAAAAAGGTTATTTCTTACAGTGACAAAATAGTTTCAGGGGTAATGCGTTCATAGGATTATACCACTAAATTTGGTTTTGCTTGACTGGCTGTTGTATCTGTACTTGATATGCAATACAACCACTTTGCAAAATATTCTGACATATTTACAAGTGAAAGATAATGGTGTCTGGAGCCTTTTTCAAAGTAACCAGTGGGGAGAGTAGGGTTAGGGAAGTGGTTAGGTAGAGGAAACAAAGCTGGCCATGGGTTGAGAGTTGTTGAAGCTGGGTGGTTGTTGCATCAGTTCTTCCTATTTCCATAGATATCAGAGGCTTTCTTTTAAAGTTCTAGTTAAGAGAGCAGATTTAATTTAATCTATGACTGATTTTCATTGATATTAGCTCCTCTGACTTAGAATGTGGGACCAAATAAGAGATAATAACTCTTTAGTTTCATTTTTAATTTCCATTAAAGTTGTGGATCAACTAAAGGTATTTCAGAATACATTTTAATGAGAATAAAGTCATCTTCTTGTCCTTAGGTGTCCTGGAGTCCAGTAAGACTCAAAGTGACCCTGTGAATAAAGCATATGAACCCTGCCCTATCCTGTTCCATCTTCATCTTCTCTGATATACTTGAACCTATTGTTACAGCCACTTTGTTAACCCATCTTATAGGGGGGCTTCCTCCCTTTCCTTCTGGACCCTCCATCTTTCCAAGCACAATGTCTTTTTCCAAGGACTAGGCCCTCCTAGGATTAGTCAAATGTTTAAAGTTTACAATTTAAAAAAGACCCAGTTTTATTGTGTCTGATTAGAAGGAGAGGAAAAGTTACTCATCCCCTAAAGAAAGAATATATGCATAAAAATGGCCTGCGTCTTATAAAAACAGTAGGGAGTATTTATTCCTTTCACTCGTTTGAACTTGAAGAGTTAAAAATGAATCAACCCAAGGAGTGCTTGCAGTTTGCATGTGCTGAGATTGGAGGGAATACAAATGGAAAAAAAAAGTATGAGAGATCCAGTGTAGACTGGCTTTCCCCTGCCAACCCTGCCAAAGAAAAAAAAGCATGTGGCTTGTGCTATATATTTACCACATAGTATTCATACTTCGGCTTACAAAGGAAAGAAAAGAAAAATATTTCAAAAAAGTTATTTTAAAGTGTGTGTGTATATGTGTGTAACAGCCATAAAACCATTTTCAAAGTTGAGAGGTTAACTATAAGATAAGCTTTTGAGCAAACTCAGCTCTTTCAACTCCCTCCTCCAGTCTGCCAGTGCACGCACCCAGCGCTTTGAGGGCTGTCACCCGGGAGAGCAGCGCCCACTGACAATCTGATGCTGAGATGTGCAGGCTGTTTGAAAACACAGATAACGAAGTAGCACAAACATCAAGCATCCTGCTTCACTTGACTAGGTTTCAAGGCAGTTAAAACAAAATGAAAAAACCACACAAAACAACCAAACTGAGCTCATTTCATATGAATTGCATCACCTGATAAATGCATTTTGAAAATCTACTTTAAATCAGATGCTTAAGATTTCTTTTATGTTTTCAAACATTTCTAGGTACAGTGAATGGCTTCATAACTTGGTGCACTGTGATTTTTTTTTTTTTATGACTGCTTGGCTTCCTCAGAGGAGTGCAGGTTGCATGGAAGTAGGCCACTCACTGTTTTATTCAAAGCAAGTGCCTCTTATTAGAATAATTTATTAAAAATGATTTAAAAAATCTTTCAAACCCTATTTATATGTGTGTTATTTCTAATTTGTAACATGAAAATCATTGAACTAGTTGTCAAAATAGACACAAATGTAATTTTTCAGCCATGTAAATCCTCTACCCAGACTGCTGTGGGTGGATAGATGGTTGCTGGGAAAAGTCGTCCACTGTGCTGCCCACTGAACTTCCCTTGCACACCAGTTGCAGTTCATGCTCCCTGTGCTTGCATGGATTATGTCTCAACATCAAGAAAAAAAAGGTCCTCCCTACAGGACCAGCAGTCAACATTATAATAGATGGAGAAATTGTTAAAACTGCCAATGGTTTCATCTTGCTTTGACCAACAATCAATACCCTGCGTACTAGCAGTCAGGAAATCAGGAGGTGTATTGCACTGGCAAGTCTGCTGTCAGGGATCTCTCCAAAATGCTGAAGAGCAATGATGCCAATTTGAAGATTAAAGTGAGCCTGATTCAGGTCACCGTCTTCCGAATTATCTCCTATACATCAAAGAGCTGACAGTGAGTAAGGATAAAAGAAGAATTAATGCCTTTGAGTTGTGGTGCTGGAGAAGAGTGCTGAATATCGCAGGGACTGTCCAAAGAACAATTAAGTATGCTTTGGGAAAGTACAGCCAGAGTGCTCCTTGGAGGCAAAGGTGATGAAGTGTCATCTCTCATAGTTTGGGCATGCAGCTCGGCAGGGCTATTCCTTGGAAAGGGATATCATGCTTGAAAAGATGGTCAGCGAAGGGGAAGAGATCCCCCATAAGATGGATTGACACAGTGACTTCAGCACTGGGCTCTAGTGTGTCAGAAATGATGAGGATGACACAGGATAGGCAAGGTTCAGGTTGGTTGTTCATAGGATCACTATGAGTCATACTCAACTTGTGGGCACCTAACAACAACGACAGTTGGCCCACCCTGAACCTCAGTTGTTCTTCTCACCTGGTAGCCATCTTCCAGTGAAGAATGCTACAGAGACACTAGAGTGAGAAAGTCATTTAGTTATAGATTAAAAAGAATTTGTGAATATACAATCTTTAAGCAAAAACGTATGTAAAAAGGCATTGTGTCATGCCTTTGTGATTTCTTTAGGGCAAACAGAAGCCGGAGCCTTGATATTTATTTTCGTTCTATCACTACCACCCAAACACTGGTTCTTAATACATTCTAGAAGAATTTGGAGAGGAAGACACCAGATGGCTGATTCCCTTAGAAATGCTGATTACATGGACCTGGGGTGGGGTCTAGGCAAGCATATTTTTTAAAAAGAAAAGAGATAAAATCTTGACATTATATTTACTTGCATCACTTCAGAAACCAGTAGGAATAAGTGTGGAGGTTATAGTTAATTGTTGCTTTTAATAATAAAATAGAAACAAAAGTGTGTCCAATGAAAGTTGGAGTCCTTTTTTTTCTAGCAGAAAAAGCTTTTTGCGTATTTGGCATTTTAAGGCTTGATCTTGAAACTCCCATGTGCGCATCAACTGGGATCTGGCAAAAAGGCAGATTCCCATGCAGTACTCTGGGATGGAACTGAGATTTGCATTTCTGAACAGCTGGGTTGCTGGCACTGCTGGTCCCTGGACCACACTTGGAGAAGCAAAAGTCTAGGAGTTGTTGCTTCTGCTAGACTATTTTTACTTTTGCAATAATGAGCTGTTTTAGTATCTGTATGTTCTTTCCAAGGATCCTTGGTGATGCAGTGGTCCAATTACTCAGCTTTCAACCAAAGGAACAACGGTTCAAGCCCACCAGCCACTCTGAGGGAGAAATATGCAGCAACATTTTAGACCTTTATAACATTTATAACACTGAGAGCAACAGTTCTAGTCTCTCCTTCCAGATAGATTTAAGTTAGAATGGACAGAATGACAATAGGTCAATAAAGTGTTTTGTTCTTGTTAGTTGAAGACAGTGTTCTCTAACTCTGTGCTATATCTGTAGCTCAGCAGTTTTCCTCTTTCCTGGGGTCTTTTCCTCTTTTCCATGGGGTCTAAACCCCATGACCTTTTCTATCAGTTGCCCAGGATTTTCTGGTTTTGTGGGATACTTACTGACATGCACATAAGTAAGCCTTTTCTTTCTAAGTATGTGATTTAAATCTTTTTTTTTTTAAATTTAAAACTCACATATTCTGATGTGTGCTAATTATTTTAAAGGAAATACAGGAAGTATAGGTTGCAAATAGCTTTGTTTGCAGTTAGTACCTCTCCCATGACCAAACTGTTGTGCTAACTGCTGTTAAGTGGGCCTGACTCCTGGTAACCTCCTGCACACAGAATGAAATCCTGATTGTTGGTGTGCTGCTAACAAGACCCCTTGCAGATCAGACTATTGCGATGCATAGAGTTTCTTTGGCTATTTTTTTGAAGTAGATCACCAGGCCTTTGTTCTCAGTCTGTTTTAGTTTGGCAACTCCACTGAAATGTAGATTAGCTGTGATGTTTAGCTAGCATCTTGGTCACATACACAAACACCCCCCACCCCCTTGATTCCCACAAGTCGTTCTTGTTATAGGCTGACTGATTCAGAGCTGAGCCTCTTGAAGGTTTCAGAGGCTGTACATCACACAAAGTGATGCCTAACTTAGGAGCAGCTTGTGGATTTAAACTGCTAACCTTTGGGTTGGCAACACAGCTCCTTACCGCTAAGCCACCAGTTCATTAAGCTACCAGAGCCCCCTGCATGTAAGGGGAGAAGTCTACCCCAGAAACATCTATGTCTCGTGTACCCATGATCATAGATAATCCTTACATTTGCATGCCTGAAAAGACAAGATTCACGTTAGTGAAGTATGGTTGTTGAAAGTCTACAATTCTGCCTTGGGAATCAGACACAGATGGGGACATTCTGGGTTTCATTTCTGATGGCTGGTTAACAAACGTGATAACTGTTAAAAAAGAACTAACCCAAGAAATGGGATTCAAATATTCACACTCATAGGTGTTGAGTCAGAACCAACTCATAGCTGACCCTCCAGCAGGTTTTCAGAGGCTGTAAATCACATGGGTGGGGATTGCTCATCTTTTTTCCCTGGAAGCAGCTGGTGGTGGGTTAGAACTGCATGACTGTGGATTGGCAGTACAATTCCTTACCCACTGGCCACCACAGGTATTTGGTATTATTAGCTGAGCTTTGGTTACTTCACACTTAGTCCATGTTAGTGTAAGAATTACCTTGCTGACCCGAAAGGCCTGTGGTTGAATTGACAAACTGCCCTGCAGGAAAAAGAAAGGCCCTCTCCTCCCATGTGGATTAGTGCCTCTGAAACCCACAGGAGGGTCAGCTGTGCATCTGTTCTGAGTCGACAGTGTATAACTAAATAAGTAAATACATGTGAAGTATTTTGAATTATTTTGAAAGGAGAGGACGCTAAATTAAACTATTGTTATTATATACCATCTAGTTGAAACCTGCTCTTAATTGACCCGTTACTAGTTTTTCTGAGGCTATAAATCATACAGAGAAGATTATCCATCTTTTTCCTTTGGAGCAGCTTGTGGATTCAAACTGCCCGTCTTCCGATTGGCAGCGCAGCTCCTTACCCACTAGATCACCAGAACTTCCTTAATTAAGATAGTTTGATTAAAACAACTGGTTGTAAAAAACAAAACAAAACAAAACAAAACAAAACCCCAACAACTTGTTGTTAGTTATGTCTGCTCTTTTACTTGGTGGAGCCCTTGGGTGGTATGGTTGGTTAACATACTACTTGGCTGTTAACTGAAAAACTGGAGTTTAAGTCCTTCCAGAGGTGCCTCATAAGAAAGCTCTGGTTATTTGCGAAGCATCAGCCATTGCACACCAGCACTACTTTGACAGGCTTCTACCTTGATGTGAATTGGAGTTGACTTGATGGCAGCTGTTTGGTGGTTTTACTTGGCAAAGGAAACCACTACAGAGACTTTGCCAGAACCTGGAGGAGGAGCAGTCAGACAATTTTAAGAGAAGAACAGTGTTTTGAAAATGCTGACACTCGGTACGTGCTCGAGCGAGATCATAGGCTAATAACTACACAGGGACATTCAAGGTGGGATCAGTGTAGCCTAGCATAGGCCAGGAGACTCTGCTCACCTGAGGCAGCCCTTCTGTCACATTGTAACTGTCAACTCTCACCCTACACACTCCCAGCATCCCCTGACAGGCCACTACACTGGTTATGAGCAGGGGTTAACAAAAGGGAAAGCAAGCTTCTAGGTCCAGGTTTTGTTTCTCCTCTGATTACAATATATAGTGGTAAGAAACTGTGCAACAATCCCAAAGACATGTGTATCAAAATCCACCAGCTGCTTTGCAGGAGAAGGATGGGCAATATCCTCCTGTGCGATTAACTGCCTCTGAAAACCTGCCGAAGGACCAGCTTTGGTTCAATTCGTACTTGAAGGCACACAACAACAACAACAACAACAACAACAACAACAACACCAGCTTTGGTTCAATTTGGACTTGAAGGCACACAACAACAACAACAACAACAACAACAACAACATGTTGCCTATGGCTTAAAGTCTGCTTGCCCTGACCAATGGCGATTTGCCTGACACAATCCTCTCTATGAAGGCTTTCATGTTGTCAGACTGTTGTGTTAATTTCACTACAAATTGTCAGTACACTTCGATTCTTATTGAAAACCTACCAAGAAGCTTGGCTCTGTACTGTGGAAGATATTTAGAGACCTATCAAAAATGAATGAAAAGTCCATGTTTTCACCAACTTGAGGGAAATGGTATTAACTATTAGCCACTGGGGAAATTAAGTCTTGCATGAATGATTTTTTTTCTTCTTAAGTGACATTTTCTTGAATAGTACAATGATAAATGATACTCACTCTTAGGTACTTATATTTTTTTTTTTCAGATGGATCCTAATAGAATATCAGAAGATGACACTGACTGCTTCAAGAGACTTTTCAAGCTTCATGAAAATGCAGATTTGCAAGACACAGCTCTGGAGAGTGAAGATACAAAGTTAATATCCGAATCGTGCAGGAGAATTAAACAGGCCTTTCAAGGAGCTGTACAAAAGGTACCTTCTCATTGGGGTGGATCTGTCAAGGGTCCTTGCTGACTTTACCAACACTGACAATGTAAACGTGGAGTGCTATTGCCTTTAGCCTTTTTATGACCATCTAATTGATTTGTTAAAGAACTAAAGAGGATTTTTTAAAAAGGTATCAAAATGAAAGAATTTTTCTTTTACTTTTCAAAGAGAAGAGTGAATTGGATGGGGAGGGGTAGGCAGGGAGAAAAATGCAACAGTGAATTAATGGAAATCCAAAGTCTCTGTAAATGTTCATTAAATACATTAAAAAAAAAAAGAACTACGAGGTTCTTTTAAGATTGATAATGGTTGATTAGGGAGACTGGAGATGTTTACAGACATTGTTTCTTTTTAAAAGGAATGTTTTAAGATTATACTTGGAAGGAGGACAAGGTAGCTTATGGTTAGTGGATGGGTCAGTTTGCTAGTTTGATTCCACTGACCTAGAAACCGTTCACAGGCTCTTTCATACCTATTTCCTTTCTGCTTGGTTTTGTGATGGTAGGATCCTCTAGTCCACATCTGTTGATCCAGGCTCTGATGAGATGTGAGCTAATTGCCCTCTGGGCCAGGAGGTATGCAGGCAAAGCAGGAAACAAGGGGTGGAAGAGATGAAAATCCGAGTCCTGATGCTCTTTTTTCCCAGGGAAATTGAATGGGAGAGATGGCAGCAGAGGAGACCCGGATGTCTCTTAGATCAGTAGCTGAAGCGTTGTACTATCTGGCTGTCTCACTTCCCTGATGAAACTTGCTTGAGGGTTCTGCGCCACGCTAATGATTTTACTTACTGACTCCACTGGATACAGCATACTAGAGACTCCAATTTCCACACATCTGCCTGCACTCCACACCTACACCTTCGTGCATCTGCCTTTCCATCGCAGCCATCGTTTTGCAGCTTGTTATTAATCTGCCCAATAGAGGCACCATGCATCAAAGTCTACTTGGTGACAAGGTGCTTTGTTCTGGTTGCTTTTTATTTATGTAGCGTGCACTATGTTAGGTATGTTGCCATACTTTCTGGTGGTCTAGTGGTACGGAACTGAGCTGCCAACCTAAAAGGCTCGTAGTTCTTGTCCACCACCTGCTTTCCATGAGAAGATTGCACGGTTTCCTCCCATGTGATTTACTGTGAAAACCCACTGGAGAGGCAGCTCCACCCAACTCCAGGGTGCATAACAACAACAGCATCTATACGGTAGACCAACATAAAGACGGAAGCACAACAGGAATTGTGAGGATGGCGCAGGACTGGGCAGGGCTTTGTTCTGTTGTTCAGAGGGTCGATTTGGGTTGGAGCGGAATTTACTTCACAGCAACATACCCCATACCCCAGGATTTATTCTTTGCTTTTCCCAATCAAATAATCACTTGCTGGATGTGTCTTCTATTGATATAGATTGCTGCCTAGTGTGACATTTTAGATTATCTTGCCCAAATAACCAAATTTCTCATTTCTCTTGCCAGTGCCGAAGACAGTATGGGTGTATTAGCTGTTTGTCAGTAGCTCAGTGTCTTCACTTTAGTTCTAATATAGAGATTGAGTGAACCCATAAAACAAAATTACATGTGTTGCTGGAATGATTATTGAGAGATCAACCCAACCAGTGGTAATAAATGCTAGACATAAGCACAGTATCACATTCTATGTGTGTAAGAAATGGTGTTTATCCAGTCTGTCTTTGGTCAAACAAGTAGTGCTGTTTTTTCTGCCTCCTTTTTTTGTGTTGTTGTTTGTGGCTAGGCTTCCTTAGCCTTTTTCTCCCTTAGCACAGAGCTCTCAAAGCCTCTTGGTGATCCAACATTATAACCACAATTTATAAAGTCTATCATAACAGTCTATGACAATAAAAAAAAACACTAGTATAAATATGGTGTCCAATTCATGAAGCCATCCTTGTTTTCAGCTTTGGCGGCTCCCCAGGCCCAGGCAATGTGGGGCGAGGTGGGGCAGTGTGCTCAGGCCTGAGTACTGGTCTCGTTCTGTGGCAGCATAGTCACTTGGCTACTGTCCTCCAGGCTAGTCTCAGGCATATCATCTGTTTATGCATCAAAGATGCATTCCGTGTCCTTGGAGCTGACCTGGAACTTCACTTGCTTTTAATGTGTCAAGTTGTTAATTCTACATTATACCTGTTCCACATGATCCCTGTTTGCCAAAAACTTCCTAAAATTTCTGGAATTTAATTTCAAAGATCTATGAAAGAATAGAATGCAAAAGAGAGATCAGTGTGCATTGTGGCCCTCAGTAGTGGGTCAGTCTTTAGTGTTCCTCCTTAACCAAAGGGCTTATTTTAGAATCTAACCAGGATGAAACCTATGGCTATCCAAAGTGAGATGTTTAGCTTAATCAAGATGATCCACTGGTATGGGGGAACAAAGTATTAGGATATCTATCTGTCAGTCAATCTATCTATCATCTATCTATCTATCTATCTATCTATCTATCTATCTATCTATCATCTACCTATCTCTTTATCTCTTTGTTGTTTTTGTTATATGCCATCAAGTCAGAATTGACTCATAGCTGACCTCCAGCAGGTTTTCAGAGGCTGTAAATCACACAGGAGATTACCCAAAGCAGCTGATGGATTCCATCAGCCTGCCTTTGCATTGGCAGTGCTGCTCCTTACCACTAGGCCACTAGAGTTCTCTGTGATAGAGTTACACAGCCAGAAATCCTTGAATTGCTGAATCCATGAAGTGAAGCAGTGGGTTCCATGAAGACCTGGCTGCAGCCATCTTGTTCACATCTGACAGTGTTACCCCTTGCTTTAATTCCAGAGAACCTAGTTATAAACAGTGATGCATTTGTCTGCTAACTGAGAGATTGGTAGTTTGAGCCCACCCAGAGACACTCAGGAGAAAGATCTAGAGCTCTACTTCTAAAGAAGAGTAAGCCAGTGAAAACCCTATGCTTAGTGGAGGAACTTTATGGCAAAGGTGGGTGAACATGGTTACATTCCTTGAAGAATATAATCAACACCACTAAATTGTGTGTGTGTGCAGAGGTTCTTTCAGGAACATACGTTCTGTTGTGCATATATTCTGTGCACAATGCAGAAAACAAACAGAGCAAGTCCCGTGGTGCCAGGCACAACTGAGGACACTGGGAATTGGAGTCCACTCAGCAGCAAGCGATGAACGAAGGAGTGATAGCTTGATGGCCTCTGTGAACTAATATTTTAAGATAGAAACCTGGACATTATCTGGCTTGTCAAGCCATTCAGAATGTTATAAGCTGGGTTCCAAGTCATTTGATAGTTTTCTAACATTACAATTGATAGCTATGAAAATTATTAGCTTGAGGCCGTGCGGGCTAGGTTTGTTCCCATGATCTGCTGCTGGACTCTCCCTTGACTCTCAGTTCCCCTTGGTGCAGCCTCTTGGTCCTGTTGCAGTCTGTTCACCATAGAGAGGCAGCCCATGATGCAAATGAAAAGCACTGCTCTGGCCCTATAAGCGTAGTTTCATAAAGCTCTGATTACACTCCAGATTATGAAAAGCCAAAGGATGATAATAACTACCAATAGGTTATCTTGCTGGCATGTTCTTGAGTAACCATTTCCTGGAATCAATGAGCCTCCGAAGACTTACTGGAAAATGGGATGTAAGACCAGAGAGCCATAATTATTGAACAATTAACTCTCAGCTGGAGGTTTGTTTTTTTCAACTGTCAAGGGATGGTTCCTATTTGGCCTCATCTCCTGCAGGATTCACACTGCACATGCACAATTTCCACTGATATTAAGAACAACATGTCAAAGCTTGGAGGATGGTGGCGCTTCCGTGGTAGAGTTCTTGCCGTCCAAGGAGGAGACTTAGATTTAATTCCTGGCCAGTGCATCACCCGTGTGTCAGTGGAGTCACTCAGATGCCAAGCAGGTTTCAGCGGTGCTTTCAGACCTAGACGGGCTCAGCCTGTGAAACCATCCAGATCACTGTGTTTAAAACACAGATGATCTGAGCGATGGCACAGGACTAGCCAGCCCAGTTTGTTCTGTCATGGGTGTGTCACCGTGAGTCAGGGGCAACTTCACAGCATCTAAGAACAACAACAAAAGACCAGTTGTTATAACCAAAACCCTAAGAAAAAGAAAAAAAAACCAAACCCCATTATCATCAAGTTGATTGTGACTCATAGTGACCTTATTAGGACAGAATAGAACTGCTTTCTTGAGTTTCCAAGGCTGTAATATCTTTACAGATGCAAACCCTTCATAGATGCAAACTCACAGCTTTCTCTTGTGGAGGGACAGTGGGTTACTTAACCCACGGTGCTACCAGAGCTTCTCCATGTAACAAAGAGACTCTGTGAACTGAGTAATACAGAAGTGTTTTTTAGTTTTTCTTTCATGAAATGATCCAGAGGTGAGCAGAACAGAACTTGTAGGAAGAGTCCCCCTTTCACGTTCACCTGCCATCTCTGGTTTCCAGATGGCTGTTCTGTTTGTTGTCATTTCCCAGAGGGGACGGAAACAGAAACAGTAAGGACAATAACGGAGGACTAAGACTTCATGTCCAGTAGCATTGTACTGACTGTAACTTATAAAACCATACACAGCGAAGCTGGACAATACACCCTCCAGCTGGTAGCCACTCTCCCACGACAGCTTGAATAAAGAGAGGGCCTGTGACTGGTAGACACCACTCATCTGTCACTTCGTTGTGCTGTAGATATTGGCAGGTTGCTGTGATGCTGGAAGCGATGCCACTAGTATTTAAAATACCAGCAAGATGATGTTTAGTAGACAGATATAAATGGAGCCTTGAGACTAAGTTTAGGAAGCAAGGCTTAGAGATCCGCTTAGGAAAATTAGCCAGTGAAACCCCAATGGATCAGAGGCAAAGATCATTTGATATGATGCTGAAAACTGAGCCCCTTAGGTTAGAAGACACTCAAAATAAATAGCAGCTGCAGTGGTGGATAGGAAAAGGCTGACAATCCTGAGGACTGGACGGGGCTGGACCATGTGTCATTGTAT